AGCTGGCTCACCTCTTGTGTTGTTTTTTTCTGGGGGCGGTGGGTGGGGTTTTTTTAGGAAACATAACAAGTACTCAGTGTCCAGCATAGGTCTTTGCTCTGAATCCTCTAAAAGGCCATGTTCATGTGACTGCTTTGCAACCCCATTTTATTCCCCTTCTCCTACTGAAGCATATTCACAAACTCCCAAGAAACCATTCATAATTGGCCTTTAGGTCCAAGCTAGCTCTAGAGGCAGGTCAAGTTCAAGCCTGTACTATCCCTCCAGCTCTGCCTAGCTAAAAGGGTATGCTCTGTGTCCAAACCGTACTTATCTGAACATTCCACATGCATGAAAGTCCACAAGAAATACTCACACAAGTTACAGTATGCAGTTTAAAGCCCTACCACCACTTAAGATGATTAATCTACTAATGAGCAACCCACAGGAAAGGCCAGCTTGCCCATAAAGTGTCACTTTTCACTTACTTCATAATGTATTCTCCCAAGCAGCTACTAAGGACAGTGCTTGTGGTGAGTAAGCATTTCTCAGGCAATGAAATAATCAGATCCCCTGCCTTTGAGGGAGAAAAAAAAAAACACAACACACACGAAGAATAAATAAAGGTCAAGTGTCAGCGACTCCTCTACTAAACGAGTTCTGAACAGAGATATATTCCCCAGAGAACACTAATGTCAGGAAGCAAACAGCTGTGATGCCGAACTTGATGGAAACTGACATGGTTTTAAGACAGTCAAAGTCCAGGGAAGGAGGATAATTGTAGTCAGTAGGAACTGTCACCTGCAGAAAGTTAATTGTTCACAGAAAGTTTGGTGCCTGGCTACTCACTTTCTCTGTACTGAGATATATTTTAGATTAGATCTCACAAACACCTGAACTTCTATCAACATAGCAGTATGTGGTAGGGATATTTTAGGTCATGTCTATCCTGACCTTGTTTGCCAAGCTGCTGTGTGTGTAAATGAGCTTTCATGCCTGGCTTGAGCCATACATGTCCATGCCTGTAGGGAGAGGACGTGAATCAAGTCAATACTGTCCCCTTCCCATTCCTCTCCTGAGTTTCCCTATCTCACTCAAGCCCAGTTGAGTCTAGCTCTCATTTCACTCACTGCAGACTCCCAGCGTTGTGGATAACCTGAGCCTCTGGCTTCAACTGCATGAACTGTTCTCCACACATGATTTCTCCACTGCATCTCCTTCCTACCTCTTGCTATACTCTCTATTTTGCAAAAGGCTCTGGGCCTGATTCCCCATTACCTGATATACTGTTCTCATACCAGTTAGGAAACATCTCCAACAAGCCTATTTTCCAGGAAGCGCTTTTCAGTCAGAGCTCAGTCTTTCTGTGCCAATGTCTGAATGGCAAGGTATTTTTTCTACCATTCCTCCTTCTGCTGGGAATCATAGAAATTATGATTCTATTAGCTGGTCTACTAACAAAGAAGAGGGCCATCAAAGTGAGGTTAAAGCTATGGTTTCACATTATGGCTAAGATAATCTAAAGCCAAATGCTGCTTAAAGCCCCATCCCTTTCCTCTGTCCCCCTTCCTGATAAGCCATTCCTCCCTTTGTACCAGCACTGGTCGGACCAAGATTTGGGAGATTTCAAGTAGCAAAGCTACCAAAGCTAATAATTTTTTCGAAGAGAGAGTTTTCTATTAGTTTAGCTTCCCGATGCAACTTACCACACGAGTCGGGAAGACTGCTACAGCCAGTGCAAAAGAAGCCATGGGAGCCAGTGGCTGAGGGAGAAGGCATACAGGAGGGAAGGGGCCTGCTCCTTCTGGTTTCAGTTAGCCACTGATTGCCTTAAACTGAAACACAAGACTACATACTAAATCTCTGTAAATGAGGTACAAGAATGCCTTCATCCTACAAGTCGTCAGGGTACATATGATATCGTCTTACAGATATGCCAACACTGCAAATTCTGGTATTAGGCTAGAAATTACATTCACAACAGGGACCGTGACAACCTTGTGTGGAATTTTGAGCTTTGCTTGTCGCAAAAGTCATTACATCTCAAAGAACCTGAGAACAAGTTCTTGTATTAGAATCAACAATACTAACCTGAAGGGCTTTTGTTGTCATCAGTCCTCTCCCTGTACCTGAAGCAGAAACAAAGAGGACGCTTATAGTAAAATACAGGAGACTATGATAAGCTGCAATAAATTAACAGGCCAGCAAGGAAAAGCTCTAAAAGAACACACGTTATCTCTTACAAATCATAAAAGCCAATTACAGATTGTTCCAGATATATGCGTCATTTCTTTGTTCTCCGATTCTCTTTTTACTTTTCAGGACCCTGTGAAAGCCCTTCCCCTGCATCCCCTGCAACACTTGCTGTCCAGTCCTAGGAATTACTCAACTTCTTTTCCCCAATTTTTTCTTTAAACACATCTTTCATCTCTGGCTGCTGTTCTTGGTTTCAGAGTTTTAACTAAACTTTACCATTTCTATTTACAGTATTTTTTCTCTGATTCACATTATTCTCTCTACTCTCTCTTTAATATTGCAAAAGTTTTTGAAACATAATCTACTTAAAGAGAAAAAATACAACTATATACCTTTCCTGTAAACCATACTAAGTGAATCCCAGCTCTAAAATTATTTACTTTTCTGTATAACAAGGTTAGGTTCTGATACTGGAAACACTTAAGAGATATTACTTTCTTCTTTAAAACTGTGCTAGTAACACTTAAAATCTTGATTTCTGCAAGGAATTCAACATAGATGTGCACATTTTGTAGCATACCAGAGTATTATCATACTAGAGTGTTACACGAGAGCATCTTTATATAAGAAACAGTTTACAGTACTTCAGCCCTCCATACCTACTTGTTTATGTTAAATGACATTCACATGCATATTCCAGAAGTCCTTAAAGGACTAATGGTAACTGGGTTTTTTTCTGATGCCAGGCAGGTGTGTGATTCAAAATCATAGAATCATAGAATCGTTGAGGTTGGAAAAGACCCTTAAGATCATCAAGTCCAACTGTTAACCTATCACTGCCAAGTCCACCACTAAACCATGTCCTCAAGCACCACATCTACCCGTCTTTTAAATACCTCCAGGGATGGAGACTCAATCAGTTCCCTGGGCAGCCTGTTCCAGTGCCTCACTGCCCTTTCGGTGAAGAAGTTTTTCCTAATATCCAACCTAAACTTCCCCCGGCGCAGCTTGAGGCTGTTTCCTCTTGTCCTATCCCTTGTTACTTGGGAGAAGAGACCGACCCCCACCTCACTACAACCTCCTTTCAGGTAGTTGTAGAGAGCGATAAGGTCCCCCCTCAGCCTCCTCTTCTCCAGACTAAACAACCCCAGAATCTCTGAGGCAAAGCAAAGTTCCAGGCTATTACCAAATTGGACTCTTCTTGGGTTTGGGTTTTTTTTTTGGGATGCCATTGGCCCTCTTGGCCAACTGAGCACACTGCCGGCTCATATTCATCCAGCTGTCAACCAACACCCCCAGGTCCTTTTCCGCTAGGCAGCTCTCCAGCCACTCCTCCCCAAGCCTGCAGCGTTGCATGGGGTGGTTGTGACCCAAGTGCAGGACCCGGCACTGAGCCTTGTTGAACCGCATGCAGTTGGCCTCAGCCCAATGATCCAGCCTGTCCAGATCCCTCTGTAGGGCCTTCCTACCCTCCAGCAGATCGACACTTCCACCCACCTTGGTGTCGCCTGCAAATTTACTGAGGGTGCACTCAATCCCCTCATCCAGATCATCAATGGAGATGTTGAACATGACCGAAAGAAATGAAAGCAGGAATCTAACATTCTTAGGAGAATCAAATATTTACCACCAATAAATAATTAAAACATTACCCCAGAACTGTGCTGGCCTTAAATTACTGTCTTCAAATCCTCTGTCTTTCAGCCACTTCTTAAGTTTAACGTATTCCAGCTTGTGACTACAGTTGACTAAAAGTAAAAAAGAGCGGGTTAATGCTATAAAATAGCACTCTATAGGAAAATAAAGGAAATTGAAAAATTTTACTGTATGGTCAGAAAAACTGGATGTTTTAGTATAGCATAATAGAATAACAAGAAAGGCTCCCCTCGAACTAGCTTAATAAGTTCTGGGTCTCTGGGCACTGGGAGCTCTCAGAACTGTCGGAGTTATTCGGCATAGTCAAGGGTCAAGGAAATTAAGCCAGTTATTTTATTATTTAGCAGTACTTCCAGGGATAGTACCTCCAGCCATAAAACTCTGCAAGTGTTTTCTTCTTCTCTTTCGACCTGTCCGGCCTCTGCTTTTCTTCATATTAAGAAATAGATTTTGCCTTATTTAGAAAATCTGAATTAAAAAAAAAAAAAGTTACTTAAAAATATTTAAAGTCCCTTTCAAATACTGCATGTTTCTTGTATCTCAATAAGAGAAATCAGAGCACTGCCTGTTTAATAAGCTGCCTCTTTAAAGTTTAGAAAACGTAGTACAAGCAAACCCCTAAACGAGGGCGGGTGATCGGGGTGCGGGGGGACGGGAAGCCTTCGTCTCCAAACGCCGCCATGGCCACGGCACGGCCGTAACCCGCTCGAGCCCTGGCGCTGCCCCGCCGCACGGCCAGGCCTCTCCTCCCCTTCCTGGTCTGACGGACAAAACCTCCAATCGCCCAAGCGAAGCCAAGCCCGGCTGGGATCGCCTGTGCCCCCTCGCGTTTTAAGGCAGCGGAGACCGAAGAGTGTAACGAGAAATCCCGTCTCCCCTCGGCGGCCCAACAGCGGCGCCGGCTCCCGATTCCCTCCCCGGCTGAAATCGCGGCGGGGGAGCGAGCAGAGCTGGGGACGCTGCCCGGTGCCGCCCGGTGCCCTCCGCT